GCGTTGACGCTGCTGCGCTTCCGCGTCCTGCCCGACGACACCGAGCCGCGCAGGAAGCCCGAGCTGATCCTGCGCGCCGAGGGCGGGCTCTGGCTTCGTCTGGAGCCGCTGAGCGCGGGTGCGGAGTGACCTCAGAGAGTTGTCCTGGGACACAACACCCGCCCACCCACCTTTGCAGATTCCCAGCAATAAGATGGTGATCGCCTGTGCTTGAACTTTACCGAGCGCCAGCAGGGCGCGCTGGGGGACAGAGGTGACGGGGCGCGTGGGTGGGGGGAGGCGAGGCTGAGGTCTTGGAGCCCAAGACGGTGACAGCGTCTCTGGCTGACCACAGCGCCCCGCGCTGATGGCAGGTTCTCCCGTTGCTCAAATATGGATTTCATCGTGTGGACCAAAGGCAACCGTGGGAGGTGTTTGAGCAGGAGCCAGGATTGAAGGCCGTGTTGAGACTCTGTAATGCAGGCAATTAACAGCACTAACATTTCTGCCACCCTGACCTTTATTCTGATCTTCTTAATACACCCAATCTTTTCTCACCTCAGGATTTTTACTGTTTCTATGGTTACTAAATGCCTATGTTTATTAAACCTAACAAGCCTGGTTGTTTTACAGTGTGTCTGATCATTGTGGTATCTGTGCAACTATTACATTGCCTGTCATTTTTGCTGATTTTCACTCATGGGGGCCCTGATTTTTGTGTTCCTGCTTATCTTCGCCTGGGTGTTTGCTAATAGATTTGGAAGAATATTTGTAGAATTTGAAAAAGGCAGTTTTCTGTAGAGGTGTCCTTGGAGCCCTTGTGCTTGAGGATTACGTTAAACCAAGTTCCAGGCTTGTGGTGCCCAAGGTCACTGAGGCCATTTAAACACAAGCTGACCAAACACTTGTGTGGCTTCTTGGCTTCAATTTGCTCTCTCCCTGGGAGATGTAGATCATTAAGGTTCTTATGTGAGAAGAACCTTCTTAAAAATTCTCCTTCTTGTATTGCTCCTTGTCTTTGATTTTTTCCCCTTTCATCACAAGATCATTAAAACAGAGCTTCATATTTTATTGTTTAGCTTTCGAAGCCCCAGTTCCTTTACCACCTAATAGTACCCCACCCCCACTAGTATATTCTGGAGATTGAACAAGTTTACATGCACAACACAACTGAACCAAGCATCCACATCCACATCTCTTAAGCATCCACAGTCCATGAAAATTAGTTTTCTTCTTTCTTTCTTCTTTTTGGCATTACATTTTATGTTTTGAAATGTTTTAAAGTCACACCGAGCCATATCCTCAGCCCAAAAGAGGAGTTTGAGTTTTGAAAAGTGTGTCTAGCATCTGTTGGAGAAAACCATTGGAATATTCAGTCAGCTTTTTTTTTTTTTTCTTGTGCTGGAGTTTGAACTCAGGGGTGCTTAGCCACTGAACCACCTCTTCAGCCCTTTTTAATGTTTTATTTAGATACAGGGTCTCCCTGAGTTGCTTAGGACCTTGCTAAGTTGCTGAGTTTGGCTTTGAACTGGTGATCTTCCTGCCTCAGCCTTCCAAGCTGCTAGGAATTACAGGCATGTGCCACCATGACTGGCAAGTTTCTAAATATCTATGTTTTAAATCTGAGAAACTACAAGTTGGTCTGACAAGGGCCTGAAGCTTAGAACTGGAAAAAAATATATAAATATATTTTAAAATATTATATATAAATATATGATATTTATACATAGATATAAATATATTTATATAATATATAATATGTAATATATTTATATATAAATATATAAATAAAAATATATCTATAAATATAGATAAACATATATATATATTTTAGAGAGGCACGACCAGGACTTCCATTTCATCTAGATGTTCCAGGAAGTACATGGAAGTGGCCCTGGGCTTGAATAGTGACTCAAGAGTAGGGTTGGGGGTGAGGGGCCCGACGGGGCCTCCCCTTCAGCACCAGAGACAGCGGCTGCCTTACGACGGGGGTCCTCTGTGACTGTAGGGGTCTTCATCAGGACACAGTGCAAAGACTGAGTGCTTTTCAGGAGGCCGCAGCTCCAGGACCTGGGAGGATTACAGGCTGTAAAATAACAACTGATACTGAAAAATGAGGTGAAAAAATACACAGTGTAAGTGGAAAATCACAGTCGTCTTTCTTTGCCTGTAGCAGTCTCCATTCAAGTGCTTTTCATATTCCAGAACAATGCCTATCCATAGGGGAGAGTCCTATAAGGAAATGGAAGGAATACAATCACCTCCAATCCACACATGTCTTAATAATCACTGCTTATATTCTCTCACACATACTTCAAGTTTCTAACTATCTGAAATGTTTCACAGGTGAAAATTATATGTAAGTCTCACATTACATTTACATGTCAGAACAAAATGGCTTCAGATATCACTGTCAATTAAAAGTCCAGTTACTCTTCATCCATTAGCTTTTGGGCTAAATATTTATTTTTTATAGAAATAGGTGAGAATATTTTCATGTAAGATATGAGTGTGGTTGGACATCTTCCACAGAATAACTATGGCCTGGTAACTCCACCGACACTGAAGTTTTGTTCCTGTTCACAGGAGTAGACACTGTTGGGGGGGGGGACAAGGTGACGCTGCAGCTCCCCCAGCTGAACACCGATTTCACCTTCACTTCATTCTTATGGACGATAGAGAATAACTCACTTGCTCAAGGTCATTCAGTGTGCATCGAGGTGAATTTGGTCAGGTTCCTGCAGAGATCACACCTCAACCTACAAGTGAAGACATTTTCAAAGTGGGTCTCAGCTCCAGGCATATTAGATACCCATGAAACCATTCCAGAATTAGTAGGTGAGACTCTGACAGGTGGAGCTTCAAATTTTCAATGTAATAGCTTTTTTAATTAATTAATTTTTTAAGAGGGAGGGAGAGAGAGAGAGAGAGAATTTTTTTTTAATATTTACTTTTTAGTTTTCGGTGGACACAACATCTTTATTTTTATGAGGTGCTGAGGATCGAACCCAGGGCCTCACATATGCTAGGTGAGGGCTCTGCCGCTGAGCCACAACCTCGTCCCTCAATGTAATGCTTTTGACAGGAAACATTCACTCTTGTAAAAAATAAAATGCACAGTGTGAAATATTGGTTCTTCATCTGCCTGTTGCTTCACTTATGTATATATTTTTTAAAAATTGCCTGCCAGTTTATTTATTTATTCATCACTTCAAGTATGCTCGTTTTCACTTCTTTTTTTATTGATTCTTTTTAGTTATATATCATGTTAATATTCATTTGGACATAATTACTAAAGCATGGAATAGAATTTTCTCTGATTCCGTCTGCAGTGCTTGCCCTGTCTTTCCACTCCTCCTTCTGCTGTTCCCTTCTCTCTACTGATCTTCTGCTATTAACTTACAACTTTAAAAAAATTAGGATTTTGTGGCTACACACAGTGGTGAGATTCACTGTGGTATATTCATATATGTACCTGGGAAAGTTAGGTCGGATTCACCCCACTGTGTTTCCCTTATCCCATCCCTCCTCCCTCTCTCTCAATGCCCTCCTCTGTTCCCCTGATCTTTCTTCTATTTTGATGGATTCCCCCTGCCCCCACTTTTCTTTTCCTTTTTCTTCCCCTCGTTTTGGACTTGCTTTCACATAATCAGAAAAAAAAAATGGCCTCTGACTTTCTGGGTCTGGCTCATTTCACTTAACACAGTGGTCTCCAGTCCCATCCACTTATTGGCAAATGCCATAATTTCATATTCTTCATGGCCGAATGATACTCTATTGTGAGTTATACCACTTTTTCTCTATCCATTCATCTGTTGAAGGGCACCTCGATTGGTTCTATATCTTGGCTATTGTGAGTTGTGCTGCTAGGAACATTGATGTGTGTCGTGTATTTTAAAAAATAATAAAATCAATTAAATAAAAAGAACACCTAATAAATTCTGAAAAAGTATCATAAAAGGAAAAAAGTGAACATTGATGTGGCTGCATCCCTGTAACATGCCAATTTTAAATCTTTTGGATATATACTGAGGAGTGAGATAGCTGGGTCATATGGTGACTCCATTCCTAGTTGGGGCTTGTTTGTTTGTTTGTTCAGGAAGCAGGGCTTTATTCTGCAATATGGAGGAAATATGCTTTGCCCACTTGCTCCAGACATAAATTGTTACCACTCAGGAACTGGCCAGCAATGCCCCTTGTGGACTCCTTGAAGGGTTCTGAAGACAAACCAGAGCCCAAAAATTCTTTCTTCCCATAAACACACCCATATCATTATTTACAGAATTTACTTTTATACTGGTATCAAAAATTATACTAAAAATTTATCACTAAAGTAACTTTATATTTTTTTCCCTCTTAAATTTCTTTGCTAAATGTCTTCACTGTCCCGGTGACCTTCTGCTTCTTATTTTCTTGGTGTACACTGTGTCCTTAAAAGAAGCTCATGAAAACCTCCCCAGAGATGGAGATAAGAAACCTGCGTCTAGGGGCAAATTCAGGGAAAAGAGAATGTGCTTGAGATCTGGAAGGTGGAATCAGATTTCCCAGACTCCCACTGAAGTGGCCCCCTCTCTCCACAGAAAAGCCCTCTTCACCATGGCTGATTTTAGGACTATCAGCAAAAAAGTCTCTGCAAAAGCATCCAGTGTAGATAAACTTCCTATTTTCGTGTCGCTCTGTTTACTTGGCCACTGGCCAAGAAGATACCAGCATTCCAGGTGCTGGACACCCCCTTACTAGTTTTTCACAAACATATCCAGTATAGTAATTGAAAGAATGAACAAGGCTCATCATCAGAGCAAATGCCCGTTTATTGAGGAACAGCTCTGCATATTTATAGAGCCAGGGGTGGTTTGACAGTAGACATGGGGTGCTTTTTGATTGGTGGGTAAGGATCAGGTGAGCCAGCAGGGCTCCCCATTGGAAGGCAGGATCATTGAGCCAGCAGGGCTCACCATTGGTCGGCTCTTCTTGGGGGATGGGGAAGTTAGTCTTTGGAGGGGGGGGGACTCCCAACAGTACTTTGAAGAAGTGTGCAAACAAGGCCTCTGGCCTTGAGCTGGGCTTCACAGAGATGTCTACATTTTTAAGATAAGTTACAAATGGGCTCCATGGTAACAGCTGGCAGGGGGAGGAGAGAGGGGACAAGAAGCTCTTCCTTCTCAGGTGTTGTCCTTGAAGAGTTAACTTGCCCAGAACAGTGAAAGAAAAAGCTGCTTTTCTGTGAACTTCTGCAGACTGTGAACTTCTGGG